TACCTCACACACACGATACACTGTAAATTACAGGGGCTTCAGTGAGCGGCAGCCAGGGCCAGCGTCTATAACCTTCGGTTACCACCGAAGGCCTCCGGCGAGGACACGGGCTTCGTGGCCGGCGCCCGGATTTAAGGGCTGCCGCCCCGCCCTGAGAATCCTTGATTGAAAAAATTCAATAAAAAATCAATATCGATATAGAAGAAAAAAATCAATATAGCCATATTGAAGTCCGAGTCTAAATCAATAAAAAAAATCAATATCAAAATCAATAATATTGAAAAGTAATTTTCAATATTTTCTGTGCTGCAAGATGCTCTTTTTATCTATTCTCTTTCTCAAGGCAGTCCTTGTGTGAAGACCTTCTGCAGGTCCTCACAGCTGGATCTTGTGAAGACCTTCTGCAAGTCCTCACAGCATCATCATGAATTGGATGTGTTTTCCAACCTGGTACTTCAAGCACGCAGTAGTGCTCACATGCCATGGTGGCAGGCCTGCCAAGCATGCATTTGCTAACCTGGTTGCATTCCCCACTAAATGCTCACCAGGGTAGCACCATACCCTGGCTGGGTTCAAGAAGGCACTATCTTCTGTAGTGCTCCTGGTAGTGGAGCTTTGGGATTTGGCTCCACTGATACTTGAGATGTGTGCAGCACATCAAGATGCAAGTCAAATCATCAAAAGATGCAAAGGTGCACAGCGCATCAAAAGAAAGCTACCAACATTTAATCCTCCAAGGGGCTGCCCAATCCTTTCTGTTGAGCCAGCAGACAGTTTGCTCAAGCATTCGTAGTGCCTGAGGAACCTGCTGGTAGCTGATTGGTAGTCTTTGGCTTCCTCTTTGGTCAGGAACATGGATGCATTGTGTGTGATGCTGTACAGCTTCTCCAGGCTTTGCAAGCAGTGCAGTCTATGTTTGCAATAGATTGTATCAGAATAAAAATCTTTGCAGAACTTTGCAGCCACTGAGACCAGCCTAGCCACCTGCTTTGCTTTGATGGCACTGTGCATCAAGCTTGGGTAGTGCTGGTGGGGTGCATCTGAGTCACTGAAGGATGAGAAGGTCAGTCGCTTCACCCTCACATCATGGGGTGTGTTGAGGGCAGTGTAAGCTTCAGTAACCAAGTCATTGAGCTTCTTGATCTTGTCTGCCTTTTTCAGTTTGCCCAGGTGCTGCAGAAGCAGAGAACCCAATATCAGCACAATGCATAAAGTCATATGCAAAGGTAAAGCTGTTGACTCCCTGGATGCTGAGGAGCCAGTGGTTGGTGAGTGGCTATCTCCATTTGGCTTTGGGAGAGAAATCGTTCCATGGGGCAAGGCTTGTGTCACAATGGCACCGCATACATGGATGCTTTGCCCCATGGTGTGGTAGCCCGTACTCCAAGGAGTTATGCTCGCAGTCTGCTGGTGTGGCCCATAGGATAAACCTCATGCCATTTGTGCAAATCGACTTTGAAGCTAAGCTTTGCCTCTCACTTGAAACAAATGCTTTTCCATCCTGGTCTGCTCTGGGATGTTTCCCCCTGAAGAGGCTGTTGAAGCTCCACGCAATGGCCCTCCCAACCACATCCATTGTAGGTTCCACATCCTTGAGGCCTAACTCTATGATCTTGTTCTTGGTCGAAAGAAAGCTGCTCTCCTCCAAGCCAAGCCTCCTGTCCTGTGCTGGCAGGCTATACATTGTAATTGTGTGAAGGGAGTCCACTTTGGAATGGGGACCTTTGTCTGCATGAAGAACCAATGGCATGTAGATCTCCTTCTCTTGCATCAATATTGGGTTGTTGTAGAGCTTGGGGTCCTCCTTGCTCACACTTTTCCAAAATGTTTTGCAATCATCCATTGCACCAACACAATGCTCGAGCAGTCCATTCTCAGACAAGCAGGCTACCCAGTCACGAGGAAGAAAAATGGATAAATCACAAAATTCCACCCCATGGTGTGTTAAGCAGTGTGCCTGAACTGTGTATGGCCTGGGTGCCATGAGCTTTTTCAAGGCTGGATGCCTGAACAAGTCCCTCTGAATGTTTGCAGGGTTGTTGCCATAAGTGCCCAGTGCAGCCAGGCCTTGCAGGTCACTTGGCACTTCATCCCAGCTCCATTTTTCTAGAAGCTTGTAAGAGATTGGAGACAACCCTCCAAAACTTGGCCAAGTCTTCTCTTCTT